ACTTTCTCCTTCATTCAGTCCTACACATGGCAGAGCAAACACTCTCCTCTGCACTTTTGCAAGGCAGATCTTTGTATTCCATGGGCATGTGTACATATGCAATTAATGCAAAACAATAAACTCTGGTGCTTATTGTGCCAGAGTTTATTTCTTCCCAGCTGCTGCGTTTACATGTGTGCCTGGGACCATAGCACGTTGAGTTGGGTTGAAGCAGCCCCAACTGGCAGGGGGCCCAGGGGTCAGCCTGCCAGCCCAGGGCTGCTCTGACCCATCTCAGTTTGCTGTGGAGGGACTGGCTGGGGCATGAGGGTGCTCCAGTGTGGGGCTAGCTGGGAAGCAACCACTGCACTGAAGCAGCCATGTCAGTGTCTACACATGTGCTGCTGCGGAATAAAAATCTCTGCAGCAGGACAGTACTTGTAAATAAAAATACTCCCCTGCTGTGGAGTTAATTAACTTACTCCTGCCTAATAGCACTGCATGTGTAGACGCAAGACGTTTATTGTGGAGCTAATCAGTGGACTCCTCAATAAATGTCTTGTGTAGACACGCCCACTGTCTTTTGATGAGCCTTGGCAAAAGTAGTTTTTGGGAGAACAGTGAGATAGTTGGGTACTTTCTGCTTAGTCCTTCAGACATTATGCGTCAACTCCAGCAAAGGTTATTGTATAGTCAGCTCAAAGCGTTCGTGCTGTCACCCTGGATGGGACTTTAGCCCATGCTCCCTGGCTGTACAAAGGAATCCTTTGTCCAGTCAGCCACTGGGCTGGGCAAGTATCACTCACGCCCAGACCTTTCCAGTTACAACGGGAAGTTCTGTCTAACTCGCCTGCCTCACCTGAGTGCCTGGGGCTGTTTCTGCAGAGGCAGGGCTGGAGTCTGCTAGTACCTTACAAGGGCATTTGAGTCTCTTTTTCCTTTACAACACCAGTGGGGAAAAAGAAATCACTCAGTAGGGATTTCTCTTTGTTCAGTAATTTACTGCTGGCATCCCCAGGGGCTGGGGAAGTCTTTGTAGAATTACAAACAAGTATCAGCTCAACACCCCACCTGGAGACCTGGGAAAACAAAGTCCCTCCCTTATGGCCTGCGACCAGCAATGCTACAGCACTCATTTGGAAACATCACAGCAGCAGCAATCAGTGTGGAGTCACACACCTGCTCACACAGGAGCTGGGGCTGTCTTGTGCCTCAGTTTCCAACTCCCACCGTGCACCCAGCACAGCCTCCACAATCCCCAGTGAAGTACTTCCAAGAAGTGATGGGCGATGCCAGCGAGATGCTTGCTTAGATCATAGGGTTCAAAGGCCCAAGTGCTACCCACTGCCTGCAAGATCCACTTCTGCCCTTCTGCTGCAAATCTGCCACTGGCAGGACCAGGCTGGGAAAATGAGCAGCTTCACACCCTGCTCTGTTCAGCTGACCTCCACCGCGCTGCCCAGGCTTGCTGGCTGGAGGAGCCACCAGACAGGGAAAGAAGCGGGACTCCTGCCTTGGCCTGTCCGAGCCAGAGAGCGCAATAACGCTGCTGTTCCTCCCCTTCTTGCTGCGCTGCTTGAGGGCTTTAAACGTCCTATCCAGAAATTCAGCTCCTCGCTGCAGGGCATCACGGTCTTGTGCCTCTTAAGGTACCAAATCCAGGTGCCCTGTGGCCTACACCAGGTTGGGTGCACAGGCCTCCATGCTGGGTGACCAGTGCTGGCTGCAGGCAGGGCTGAGAGGAGCCACATGGGCCTGCACCCTCCTGCTGTGGGAGCAGAGCTGTCAGTTGGGGTCCCAGCCACCACAGAGGGTTTCTCCAGCCCTGCCACTGCTGAGCCAACCTGGGTCAGTGTTTGCTGTACCCAGACAAGCTGGTCTGTGTGGAACGGTGCCATCAGTCTGTGTCTAGTGAGCTGCACTGAGGCCAAAGGGTGCTGCAAAGCGTGGTAGTACTCCTGAGTGCTAGGCCAGGCGGGCCACTTCCCCTTGGGCCCCCTTGGGCTCAGAGGGGGCAGGTAAGTGAGGGCAGGGTTCAGGAGGGAGAGCTATAAGGAACCCCCCAACTCCTGTTTGCATTGGGCCCCCTGCTGCATGGGGAACCCCCCCGGGGAATCACGGGTGCAGCTGGGGAAGACGAAAACCAGGCCCCGTGCCTCAAGCATCCCCTGGCTATGGCTGCCACCCCCTGCTGGGCCAGCAGAGGGCAGGGCTCACCTGCAATTCAGGCTCAGGATGGGCTTTGGGCTCCCGGGGCTGGGCTGAGCAGACATGGGGGGTGTGGGGCTCTTTCCACCCCATGCACCCTCTGGGTAGCACTTGAGGACACAGGGGTCCTAACCTCGCTTGTCCCCACTGGGTTTGTATAGCAGAACCCTGCCTGGGCATGTGGGTTGGTTTGGGGGAGAGGCTCTTCCCGCGACACTTGGGGGTCCTGGGGCTACATTGACGATGTAGGGAGGCAGCTCAGATGCAGTCACTAAGGGAGCTACCCCCACTAGGCTTAGCTGCCCCAGCCCCAGTGCTTGGTGGAGTGACTGTGGTGGAGGTACCTGCTCAGATCTAAGTCCTCTAATCCTTACCCCCCTTCTCACTTTGCTGAGGTGTGCAATGCCCTTCCTTCTCCCCTCCCTGCTTTGCAGGGTGCCTGCATGCCAGTAACCTCCAGAGCAGCAAATCTTGCCTTTCCCTATCAACTAGCAGGGAGAAGGCAAATAACTCTGTGGCTCAGGCTCTCAGGCCTCCTTCACCAAGCCCTGGACTGGCTCTCTGCTAGGTAAGGGGTGGCTGGAGTGGCTTGGGGGCATGCTGGATACGCAGCCATGCTTGTCACGCAGGTCCTGGCAGGCAGGTTTATGCTCTGCTGGAGTTGCTGCACACCTTGGCACACACCTCATGTACCAATGCCAGGCTGGTAAGCCTGGGTGCAGGATCAGGGCCACTGTGGCAGAAGGCTTAGTCCTTCCTCTCCACTTGGCCACCTACCTGAGTCTGGCTGCCCACAGAAGGCCACTGCCCTGCCTCTCACCTCTTGGCACCATTCTGGTGGCTTGGTGGCTCCAGCAGAGATAATTAGGTTGCTCCGGATGGACGCCAATGTAACCAGCAGCAGGATTTGGCCTGTTTGTTCCATGCCTGGACTCACCTGCCGCAGGACCAGGGCAGTTCGTCTCACCTGGTGTGTGCCCCTTTCTCTGCTGGCCAGTGGCTTGGCTTCTGCACTCAGGCACTGTGGCAAGGTGTGCTGGGTATCAGGATGCTGCCATGCCTGCCCAGCTTAGCTCTCACCTCTCACTGATGAACTGGATCTAGGCACAGAGGTGCCCTGGCTGTCCTGATAATGGAAGCCCTGCTGACAGCTGCTGGCGCCAAGGCAGGAAGAGTAGCGCTCTGCAGAGAGCAGGTCTGGGAACCATGCCCACTCACCCTGGCACCAGGCCCTCTGCTTGCCTGGGCACCACTGCACTGACAGCCTCACATGCAGCCCAGGGTCTATGAACATCCCTGCCTCACACTCAGGGACCAGACCCCAGCCACCTTCAGTGACAGGGGTTCAGTCTGGGGGAATGTCGAGGGGCTTGGGGGGGAGCTGACTGCAGGCACTGAGAGCAGGCTAGCTCTGGGAAGTGCTGCATTAGGGCTGAGTGGGCACCCCGCTCCCAGAGCAATGATGAGAGCCAGAGATCTGCATGTACCAGTGTGCACACCCACCTGGTGCCTCATGGGTCAGAGATGTCCCCAGTGCTCAGCACTCGGGTGCAGGGGATGGAGTCCTGCATGGCCTCCCTCCCTCTGCCGAGCAGGTGGGGTTGGGAATGGCTCCTCAACACTTGGCTCCAGCCCACTCAGCATCTATAAAAGCCCAGCCAGTGGGTGGAAGCTTGCCCTCCAGATGACTTCTTTGCCAATCCCCCAGCCGAGGGGAAAGGACTGCAGATGGACACCTGGACCAGGAGACCCAAGCCACACAAGCATGAGGTTAGCATTGCACTTGTGGCCAAGTCAGGGGGAACCCCTGGTACCACCCCTCTGCAGGCTGCTCTGGAGGGGGTGGATTTGGCTATAAGTGCAGGATGAAGCCCAGTGGGTGCATCCATTCAGCCTTCCCTCCAGGGATGCCTTGCTCAGCACCTCGGCCCCTGGTCCTGCCGCTCTGCTCATCTCACAGACCCAGGCCTGTACCAGGAGCTGACCTCTGAGCCCTACAGATGCACTCCTGAACTGCAGCTCTCTTCATTGGATGCAGGAGGAGCCTTTGGAAGAAGGAGCTTTGCCAGATCCTGGCTCGGGGCTGACAGGGGCAGAAAGCAGCTGTTGAAACCAGTCTGGCACTCTGGTCAAGATGAATGCACTGTGAACTCCTGTCTAAGCAGCTTTCCCAAGTCTCTTTTGAAGCACCCAGAGGCCTGGGCAGAGGGGGCTCTGCACTGTGACCAAGAGGCTTTGGGCTGAAAAGGTTCACACAGACGGCTGCGGGGTAGGGCAGGGCTTCTGGGGTCTCTGCTCCATTGCTGATGTGTGTGACCTGTCACACAGAGATCTCTCAGGTGCCTTGGAAATCTCCAGCCCTTGCTGTCTGCTGTGCCTGGCAAACCTCTTACCGATGGGGCCTCAGGTTGACCTAGTAGGTCCTGTTTGCTCGTTGTGGGGAAGTGCAAATCCCCACATACAGGCAACCTGTCACGGACTGTCAGCGCAAGAGCCCAAGAGCGCACACCATGGAGTATCTGAGCCGGGGTCGGGGCTGCCCTGTTCTCAGAGCCAGCCCTTCCACGAGCTGCTGGTCCCAGTGAGACACGTCGAGTCGAACCTCTGTTATCCATTCCTCTGCTGCCCTCTGTTTCCCAGCTCTCCTAGGAGAAGGCCAGACTAAATGAGGCCAGCAAGCCTTGAGTCTAGGGCCTGCTGGGAGGGGGAGGGCTCCTGAGAGCCACCTGCCACCATCACCATATCCTCAAGGCACCCTCCTAGGCACAGCAGAGGTGGGCCAGCACCCAGCACAGAGGACAAACACTCGCTCATACATAGGCCTTAAGGCTTGTAATGGGCTGAAGCAAAGACTGGGCCTACATTGCTGGCCTTAGGGCTGTTCTGATGTGGACCCTGGGGTTCAGGCCCATGCTCACCCCCACCCCCTGCTTGTCCTAGCCTTGCCCCAGGCCCAGGAACCCAGTCCAGCACAGTCGCATTGTCCATATGGGTATCAGCCCCTCACATCCATGAGCAGGGCACCATTACCAGCCTTGGCACACCAGCCATTTGTGTGCAAGCCAGCTACTAACACAAGGACAGACTAAGACATAAGCACAGGCTTGGTTTGTGGAGCAGGAAGAGCCCCCTGCTTGCAATTGCTTGTGCTGCCCTGCCCATGGGACACAGGCCTGGTGCTGTTTTGAGCCTGAGCAGCAGGGGTGATGCAGAGTCCAGGGTTGAGCTAGTGCTCACCACATTTTTGCTCCCCTGGGGTTAGACGCTGACATGCCATGGTGCCAAGGCTGGTCGCAGCCTCAGTGACTCAGAAGCCTCCGCGACTGGGGCTGTGCAGCTCAGCTCTCTGCCAGGCCAGTCTTTCCTCAGTGGAGGTGGGACAGCCCGAGCTTGCCGCCCACCCTCAGAAGTCTGCTGGCCGGATCATCATGGTCGTGGCCTTCAGCCTGTGGCTGGGCCCCTTCCAGTAGTGCCACTTCATGCCATTGTACCGGACTGTTGTGGAGCTGGCTGGGTAGTACACCCCATTCAGGTTGGAGGGGCCACAGGCATCGAACCACCAGCCTGAGGACAGAGCGGAGACATGGATCATTGGCTTGGTGAAGGGGTCCTGGATTCCCCATCCTGCTCCTACCCTCCTGAGGAGGGGAAGGGGAGGTAAGCCAGAGAGGCCCCTCCACTTTGGCTGCTACTAAGTGTGCCTGTTTTTTTCATAGATTCATAGATTAAGGGTCGGAAGGGACCTAGTAGATCTTCTAGCCCGACCCCCCGCCAGGGCGGGAGAACAACAAAAACCCCAAAAAGAGAAATGGGACTCAAACGAGTCCAGCTAGGTGGGCATCCAGCCTCTTCTTAAAGACCCCCAGGGTAGGGGCCAGCACCACTTCCCTTGGAAGTTGGTTCCAGCTCCTAGC